ACATGAGAAAAAAAATAAAGAAAGAAAGAAAAGAAAAGGAAGAAATCACCTTGCAGTCATGGAATTCAATTTATTTCTAGTTCCCCAATTGAATTATGAATCACATCCGTTCTCTCTTTTGTAGTTGCATCAAAAGCCAAATTTTAAACACTTACCCATTTTACTTTATTTCTATGAAAGCAAAGGTAAATCATGGCTAATCTGAAAAGTTCTCATGTCTTGCTTCAGAAGTAAGGAGATCAAAAACAAAGATCGGCTTCTAAGTGACCCCTGACCTTTGAGCCACAGCCTCCTTGCCACTAAAGCGTTCAGCACCTCATTTAATCTCCCCTCTCTGCACTGGCATAGTGCTGAGAAAAGGAAACGGAAAAAATAATCTGGGGACTTCATCAATTTTTCATGAATTTTCATTTAGGCCAGAACCCCCTCTTACCCTGGTCGATAGATCAAGCTGCTGTCATATATTTACCACCTGGGGCTACAGCTGCTATCTCTAGGGGCTGCCACTGACTCAGGCTGCATGGCAGGCAGCCACAGTCTGTGTAAGGACCCCTGTGCTCCTTCTGCTCCAAACACAGGGAACACTGGTATTCAAACTGAAATCCTATCTGCCCCAGCCACACCTCGGCTCTCTTGGTGGTCCCATTGGAAAATTGCCTATTAACTTCTTCAGTGCCAGGTCCCTTGCTGTGGACTCTGCCATTCTGTTTCCTAAAGACGTAAAAATTGCTTTTTGCCTGAACACCTTTCTTGAGTTCAATTGATTTGAAAAGTACTTTCTGGATTGCTATTTTTTTTCCCAAACCAAGGAAGAAAAAAAAAAAGCAAATGCGAGGTAAGTGATTTAAATCTCCACTGCAATGACTGGTCCTGAATGCTTTTTTCCTCCACTATATTGTCCCATTACATAAAACTGAAGTATGCATTAAAGGAAAACAAAAAAGAGAACAAATACCAGTCTGGTAAAGAACAGCCTGATTCTACACAATCAATCAAGCCAGATGGTTATTAATAAAAGCATGCATTTCAAACAACAACAGAAACCAAGATTTTTGAAATCAAAAATGAAAACCAAGTTGAAGCAAAAAGATTTATAAATTTTCCATATTTTTTATCAATAATCATTTCACAATAAATGTTGTAACGAGTTTGTCTGCTACTTATACATACACTCTTAACCACCTAGACACACCTAGATCAGTGGTTCTCAAGTGATTTTGACTCCCCAGGGGACATTTGGCAGTGTCCGGAGACACCTTTGGTTGTCACAACTAGGGTTAGGGGGCTGGTCCTACTGGCATCTCCTGGGCAAAGGCCAGAGATGCTGCTAAACATCCTTCAATGCAGAGCACCACCCCCACAACAACGAACTATCCAAATGGCAATTGTGCAGAGGCTGGGATACCCTGCCACAGCTCTCTCGCATCTCATACAGAGCTACATTCTTGAAAGCACCGGCAACAGTTGCCACTCCAACTCCACCGCCTACTCATTCCTCAGCTGCTGTGCTCTCTTTCCATCCCTAGAGCCCACAGACACTTTTATTTGACCACCATGTGGCACTTGCATTGCCAACCACTTTTACTTTCTTAAAATTATTTCCTTGGTTTTCTTGTCACTTCACTACCACATTCTATCACTCTGATACCTCCTCTGAACCCTCTGCACTGGCACTTCTTCCCTTTGGCCACCATCTATTAGGATCCCAGGCAATGGGAGGGATCTCAGCCCTTATTAACCAATCCCTGTACACAGCCTGTCTGGGCAACCACATAGACTTCTACCTACTCCCCTGGCTTCAACCACTATCTGGGAAAGATCTCTCTTTTCAATTCCAAAAGCTCTTTTTTTACTGGAACAGGAGATATTTTTACCTTGATATCGCTTTAGTATATCAAATAATACAGGCAAAGCTGATTTGAGCCTCCTGTTCCCACTACAGTTATTTCTCCTGTATCTGCCATCCCTATGGATGGAAGCACTATATACCCAGTCACACCATCAAAAAAATTCTGGGAATCACCTTCTATCTCCAAATCAACCATAAAGTGATATGATTTATAATTTCTAAATATGATTCAAAGTATTTCCTTCTTTGAATCTCCATTGCTATTTTCAGTTTAAAATCTAATGTCTACTCTTTTCTGAATTATTTGACAGCTTCTTCACTCCTCTCTGACTTCAGTCACCATCCCTTTAACCCAATCTTCAATTCTCTTTCAAAGACTCTCCTTTCACTTAACAAAAAATGTCTAGATTTTGTGATGCAGCACATGCTTACCTCTGCAACTTATGCTACCCACCAACCTCACATCGAGCTACCTACGGTTTTCCAAATACACAGTGTTTTAAGGTTTCCATTCTTTCCTTTAATGGGTGAAGAAATGGATGTGCCATAATGTAGCATTTATGTTGAGTGTTCTAAGATACGAAGGCCTGTATCATTTTATAAAAATACAACTTGGTTAGCAGTAGTATTGAAAAATCACAATGCTTTGACCCAAATTTCCATATTAATACTTTTTATTAAACACACAAGGAAAGAGAGAAGACTGGTGAGCTAATGCAAAAGAGATGAGCAGCATATAAATAGATATTATTTGATCTTGCATTGCCTCAAATGGCATGAACTGTTGACATGGCATTAGAAGAAAGAATTTTATTCACTAGCCAAATCCAATTTAGCAGCCTTCTTGTTTTCCTCTCTAGGTCAGAAGTATTTTTAGCATTTCTCAAAGCTCATTGATTTAAAGATAAAAAACACTATTGTCATATTACATGAAAAAAAATCATGGTTTAAAATTTACCTCCTAAAACAGTTTGATTCATTATTAATGACGTAATTAGGAAAGACAGCGATCTTTTAGATTAAATAAAAGTACAAGACGCATGTGTGTTGGGAGCAATTTTAACAAAGCTAAGGCTTAGAAAAAAAATGAGTTTATAGCTGTCTAATGATGAAATGACTGGCAAATTTAGATAAACTTTAATATTGAGAAGGAAAGTTAATTAAGGATTAAAAAATAGGTATTTGCTGCTGAGTAGATAAAAGAAAAATTTTTTAAAAGAATTGAAAATTGAAGAATTAATTTTTATTTATGTAAAATAGGCCAGATTTCATTGGTGTGTTTTTCCAAATATGGCACAATTCTCTAAAACTGAAAATTAAAAGAATCAGGATCTGATTTTGAATTCCCCACTAACTTATTGTCTGAGTCTTGGTCACTTAACCATCATGGGTTTCATTTTATCCACAAAAGGGGAGAATAATGTATGTTATATTTACTATAAAGGGATCTGATGGGGGAAAAAAATCAATAAAATTTGACATTGAAATATTTTAATACGTTTGAAAAGTTCCAGAAATAAGACATTCAAAATAAAAATGGAACAGTTAGGAATATTTGCATTCTTGAGGTTTTGTGAGTGTATTTCAAATCTCACTAAACTGCATTTAATTTAACTGCTTTTTCAAGTTATAAAAATGAAATTACCTGGTGTCCGGCGTCTAATGGCATTGCTAGCTAAGGTTCTAATGTTCATATCTCAAGGTACTTCACAAAACAAATTTGGGTCTTGGGATTCTTCTAGTTTTTTCCTATTGAACTTACAGATTTCAAGCATCAGCAGATTCCAGATTTCCTGGTACAACCTATAAATCAAAAGACTGGATGCTTAAGAACAAAAGCTTTCATTGGGATAGCTGAATAAGAAACAGTGTGATTTTGTTTACTAAAAGATGCTTTCATATGTAAAGGAAATGATATATTGTTGAGAATTTTAATACACAAACACAAGTTTTATAATCTAGTGTGATACCATGTAGCATGTGAGCACAAGTATCAGCTTTAATTGGAGACATGAGACCATGAGCTATTATTTAGCACTCCCCTCCCAGTTAAATAAATAAGACTCATGTATCCTGAAATTCTTCAATTCTCTTATCTATGAAGACCTACTGGTACAAACAGAAAGTTGAAGAGTACAAATTTTTTTTAGGCCCAATTGTTACCATCTTATTCACAATTAATTCTACAGAAAATCTTTCCTCAAAATAGATAATATCAAAAATGTAAAACCTCACCTATAAACTGGAAAAGAAAATTTATCATATTTTTTAATTTGTTCTGGAAAACAATCCATAAAATTACGGAATAAATGTTCAAATAGATGCAAAGCATTGATATCTTGATTTACTAGTGACATGGGCTATCTGATTAATAAACATATTTTTTAAATGCCGAAGTCAGGGCAAGTCCTTAGCTATTGCTGATTACAAGATTGAATAAGACCCTCCTATGTATGAACGGTCTGTTCCTACAGAAATCAGATCTCTTCTCTGATGAGTTTTTTGATTAAAAAAATAATAAATAAAGTATAGTTGCTGTTATTGTTGGAGTATTCTCCCCTGCATGCCTAGAGCAATGATTCCTGAATTCAGCCTGGAAGTAAAAGAGTTAATATAGCCTAGAGAGTACATTCTTTTTAAAGTTGCCTGATAAAAGTTAGATTTAGGAAAAAAGATATATAATATACATTTATTATATTATATATTTATAAATATATATTAACAAATAAATATATAATATATATAATAGTTACATATAAATAGGTAACAGAAATAGGTACAATATTGAATTTATGCCTTGTTTTTGATGCCATGTTACAAAGAAACTTTTCATTTTAACAAGGCCGACTATAATACTTGATTATAACTCTCATTAATAATTCAAATTTTCAATATGACCGGCATCATCACCACCTTACTGTAACATAATAACATAATCACCACATTGCTTTAATATATATAAATCTACTGCAACACTCTGGCTTGACATTGTTTCGACCGGCTTTCTTTGGAGAAGGCAAAGTAAAATTATGCAGTGTGTCATTGTTTTATTCTTTAGATATTAAGCATCTATGGGAACAAATCAAGGCTTACTGAAAATAAATCGAAGTAAATGTGCCTGCCATTTACGAGGTGCATTGTGTTCACTTACATGCCACTTCCAGAGATGCATTTCGACTCACTGCTTCGCCAAGATAGTTCCTTGCAACACAAACGTAGCTTCCTTCATCGGGTTTACTTCTGCGCCCGTGCACAATGCGCAGGAAGAATAAGGATCCGCTGGGCAGCAGCATCCTGTGGGACCGGGGATCGTCCTTGTCGGTCTCCACCCGCTCACCATCCTTGTACCACTCAATGGTGGGCGTTGGCCGGCCCTCTGCCTTACAGTTCAAAGTGGTGGGCTCTCCCTTAGAGACAATGACATCGGAAGGGTGCTCCACAATCCGTGGGGGAAAGTCTTCCTGGCGAAGACGAGATCCTACAAAACGCGACAGAATGAAGACAAGCTTTAACATTTCCTCATCTATAGCTTTGTTTCACTTAGGTTCACATTGGTGAAATTAAACTCTTCAATTATTCAAAATGAACTGTCCACCATTTTATGTTTCACTCTTTTGTTCTTTATGCATCTCACAAGTCAACCCAACTTCTTTGTGGAATAAAACAATATAGCAATAAATTAATATGTTAATGAGTTAGGTTTAACATGTTCCACCAATCCCGACAAGCAAAAGTAAAAGAAAACATGAGATTTTCTTTTGGAACCAACATGTTGGAATGCGTACTAAGATGAGTAAGACTAATTGCCTGTCTTCAAAGGAAAAAGCAAAATGGGCAACTACCTAGGATACACACATAAAGACCATTTCTCATACTGGCATTGGGTTATCAGACTTAAAAAAAGACCCACTCATTATGTACAAATATTAACTCAATTTAACAGATGAGGAAGATGCTTAGGTATTGCCAGGAATGTAGGGGCAGAAAGCAGTAGAGGCAGGATCTGAATCCAGGTATGTCTGACCAAGGAACTCAAGTATAAATCACTATGCTAAAATGAAATAAGTATTGCATGGAGGTCCAAGAAATGCATTACAGAAGAAAACAGGAAAAAATGCTAACTCTAACTAGAGCATAATAAGAGGCCTCTCCTCAAAAAGGTGGCCTTCAAATTGAGCTGTAAAGAATGAAAATACGTCAACAGAGGGAGAAAGGCATTCAGACTGAAGAAACAACATGAGCAAAAGGAGAGAGTGATGAGAGTCCATGCACAGTATGTTTCCTAATCAGGGAGGAAGTCACTGTGCCAGGTGAGGGTAAAAGGTAGTCTTGGAGGCAGAGACCAAAGGGCTCCAAGAATACCGTGCTAAAGAATGTGACTTTTAGTCTATATGGCTAACAGATTTTGAGGGGACAGTGACATGACTGTCTGTGTATTAGAAAGATACTTTTGGTCTGCAGTGTAAAACATGGATAGCAATGGAGGCCTAAAGACAGATGAGAGTTACTTAAATATCCCAGAGAACAAGAAAAAGAACCCGACCTTGGGAAACGACACCGCGGGTAGAAAAAAGGAGGAAGATATAATGCGTATCATAAAATAAACGCTTGACAGAATTCGGTATACCAGCAGATAGTAAGAAGAGTGACAGGCACCAATGACTTCCTTGTGACTGCAATGAAGGTGGGACCAGTAGAGGGTATAAGGAATAGGGAGAGCAGGACCTGTTGGTATTTTAAGATAAAAATTTTGCATAACGTGTTGTTTGAATATTTTTAATTTATAAGATGTCCATGGCCATTATTTACGGAAATGTCCTACCCGCTGCTGCAAATAAATCTAAAGAAGCTGCTAAGAGAAACAACCATGTCTGAGAACAGAATGATAATCTAGACAAGAGCTTGTGAAAGTTTGCTCTTAAAATTTTTCAACCAATCACCTAATATTAGCACATTTCTGCTCAATAGACAGAAGTAATATTTACTCCTTAATGTTATTGCAGTTTACTTTCAATATTAATTTAAAATGCATATTTTATTCTCATAAAAGTAATTTAATTTAGTAGTGAATGAACTTTTTCTTTTCTGAAGAGGATTAACTTTTAAAGGTTGCTGATTACCATTTGTTATCTCATCACATCCAAGAAGAAACTTATTCATCACAAGTGCTAGTACCTGAAGCAAAAGAGTAGTTTACAGTACACTGGTCAGAATTTTTAAAAAAAGAACTGAAGAGATCCAAAGCATTTAAATATGGACAGGCAATCACATTATGCATCACAATAATAAAGTTACATATTGTAAGTACTGGGTCCTGAAAGCTAATGAGGAATTTGCAGAATATAGAAAGTAAGCATCATTTTTAAAAGTAATAATCAAAAAAGATTGCACAATATTTAAATATGAATGGCTAAGCACAGTTTGCAAATCAGTAGCATATTTCCAAAGGTCCTGGTCTGGACACTAGCCATAGAATCTGATCCTAAAATGCATCAAGAGTTACATGTCACTTTTCCTGTAACAGGTATATGGTAGCTACAATCATCTTGTTTAGATATCCTCCTTGTTATTCTCTAATCTCCCATATGTAGTCATCTACATTCTCCCTACTGCCAAAGTTGTCCTATTGTTAAAACCAAGCAAGTCAATCCTCCATGTTATTAGAGCGCTATTTACTATATCAAATAGTACCCGACCTTATTAGGCACTTGGCCTGGATGAGGCCTGAATAGGACTTGAAATACATTAATATACACTTATTAAATAAAATATAGAATAACAAATTTATAAGAGAAAAAGAGGCAAAATATCTAAACTATTTAACAATAAAATTTAGAGTCCAGCATGTGCAATAAGCACTCAGGGAATTTTACTCATTTATCGCTATAACATAGGTAAACTATCCTAGTGTTGTCGCATTTGGATATTCTTCCAGTAACGTTATTCCCACTATTATAAAAGAATATCTACAATCTAAATGTAAGAGGTAAAACTATCAAACAAGTAGAAGAAATTATAGGAGCAAGTTTTCATGACCTTGAGTTAGGCAAAACCTTGGATACGACACAAAAAGCACAAGCGACAAATGAAATAACAGATAAATTGGATTTCATCAAATTTTAATATGTTTATGCTTTAAAAAACACATCAAAAATGAAAAAGACAACTCAGAGAATCAGAAAAAAATATTTGGAAATCATATATCTGACGGGGACATATTTAGAATACGTAAAGAACTCTTACAACTCATAAGAATACAAATAACCAAATTTAATAATGGGCAAAGGATTTGAAGAGACATTTATCCAAAAAAGCTAGACAAATGTCCAGTAAGCACATGGAAAGATGCTCAACATCATTAGCTATTAGGGAAATGCTAACCATTGGAAGTGAAGAGGGACTGGGACATCTTTCAGGTGTGATGACAATATTCTAAAATTGATTATGGTGATGGTTGCACAACTCCATGAAAATAACAAAAACTATTATATTGTACACTTTAAATGGGTGAATTGTGTAGTATATGAATTATATCTCAATAAATCAGTTTTTAAAAAGTCACGAGTAAAGGCACTGTGAACAAATTTAATACAAGGTGTTGTAACAATTTGTGTTCATTTTTACCAATAGTTACAATATTTTCTTCATTTACAATTTTAGCTTCTAAATGTAATCATCAGGCCAGCAATAGCCAACAGGGCATAAAATAAAACTGAAAGGTCTTACCACATAGATAGATGATAGATAGATAGATAGATAGATAGATAGATAGATAGATAGATAGATAGATAGGGAGATAGGGAGATAGGGAGATAGATAGGGAGATAGATAGGGAGATAGATAGGGAGATAGATAGGGAGATAGAGAGAGACAGAGATATGGAGATATGCAAAAATACCACTACAATCTAAATTTTAAGATGTTATTAAGAGTGAGGGAATTAATTCTGAGCTCCTTTACATTCAGACATTACACAACTATAGCAGTGACCCTTAAGATGGATAAGCCTTAGGTAGGTCCATAAATTCTTTGAAATTGTGTATAAACATGGTTATTTATGTGTGGGCAGGAGGGAGTAGTGGTGAGGAGACCACAGCTTTCATCAAATTTCCAAAATTATGAAGGACCACTAAACTACTAGGTATTCTACATTATTGGACCAAAACAACCCCATTATTTGGTTAAAAAAATAGAAAGTTGTCAGCCAAACTCATTGAGGATTCGAATCTTAACAGTAGAGGGGGCTGTTCATCACATGAAGAGCCATGAAACAGTTTAACTTCAAGAGCTTTGACAGCCAAAGGCATGTTACATATACAAGATCCAGGGCCCAACGCCACATCTACAGAATCCGCATTTTAACAAGATCCCTCAGAGATGTGTATGCACACTAAAGTTTGAGAAGCACTGTTCTAACCAGTTTTTGTATGGCCCCGAGCTAAGAATATTTTTACATTTTTAAATTGTTAGAAGAAGAAGAGGAGGAGGAGGAAGAAGAAAAATAAGTGGAGGAGGAAAGAGATCTTACATGGCCTCCAAAGCTTGAAATATCTGCTATCGGATCCTGTACAGGAAAAGTTGGCCAATCCTACTCTGGAGTACCAGTTAACCACTTTCCATTAATAACTTCAGTTTTTAAATTTATATTTCTTTTATATAGAACCACAAAACTGTTTTCTCCAGATTTCAGATGGAAAATACTTTAACAGCACTTTATACTTTAATATTGCTCATGTAATGAGAAATATTCAGGATCCCTGTATGATCAAATAGGCTAAGCAATGTATCAGAATTACTATCTGCAATTCTAACTTCATGTACAGCTGATAGCAACTCTGGCCATCTTTTTATATCTCAAATATTAATTAGGCAATCAAATAGTCAAGTTTTAATTAAAAACATTTTATTCAATTCTCCTTAGCTATTATAAAGAAAGATAATGGAAATTAGTCACGGGGTCCTAAAGATGAACATCCAAATGTTTATTTTTACTGCCTAAGAAAGTAAGATATAAAATAGTCAAGCGACTTGTCCATAATTGAACAGCTGGAAGAAGCAGAATTAGAACTCAAGACCTTTAGTCCAAAATGTGCCAGGCTTCTAAAAAAACGGATAGAAGAGTAAGTAAAGAATGTACATTAAAACTACGCTAATTCCGAAACCCTCTTCTAAAGCTGATTTCAAAAATATTAGTCAAATGAATGCCGCTAATCATAACCAGAAAACATCTTCCTTGTTTTTCAAAGTGTAATTATCAGACTACTTTCATCAGAATCACCTGAGATATTTCTTTAAAACGCAGATTCTTCGTCTCCATAGTGAACAGGATGCATCAAAAGTTACTGACAGTGGGGCCAGCCCAGTGGCGTAGTGGTTTAAGTTTTAGTGCTCCACTTTGGCAGCCCAGGGTTCAAAGGTTCAGATCCCAGGCCTGGACCTACCCACCACTTATCAAGCTATGCTGTAGCTGGCATCCCA